AAGATGAACTCGTTGAAATGTCAGCACGTTATACAAATATGCATTTACAAATGTTGTAATGCCAATTTTCGATATTGAGTTAGCTTCATTTCGACGACTTGATTGACCAATGAAATAAAATGTCATTTGAGTTTGGGTACTCCTGAAGTATGCGTACCAAGATGGCGGACACCGGAACGTAGTGTGTGTACCAGGTTAGAGTTAGGCCATACTTCTATTCTAATTTTTCTTTATTTTAGTTCTATTACGAGTTTGGTGACTAGCCAAGTGACTCCAAAAATTTTGTGGCTTACTAAATATACCCCTACTAAAGTTTAATCGCTCTAAGCAACATTACAATTTTTAGTAAGAAAATGTCATATTCATGTACTAAAAACATTTTGATTAGCGCTTTTTCTTGACTTTTGCCTAGATAGGATGGTACAGTGTAAATTTCGTCAATGTATTATGAAATTCATAAAAAGAGAAACTGCTATGAACAACTTGAATTTTCAAATATTTGTTCTTATACTCTTCAAAAATATGCTGTAAATATGCTTGTAAATAAAATTTGAAAAAAATGAATAATTATTTGAAAGCGTATTGCGAATAGCTTCAGCAAAAAAAAAATAACAAAAAAGAGATAAAGTAAATTATTATTTGATTTCCAAAAAAACAGTTGAATGTACTTCGAATACCATCCCAATTTTAGTCCTTGTTCATGATATCTTTATCATTTTTTGCATATATGGCATGAATAATCAAAGCAAAAGCTTTCTTTAATATTTTCCGCCCTTGTAATTGAGGTCACGATCATTTGCCATATTCCATTAAATATCTCATATCCAACAATGATCCTCACGAGGGAATCCGCGATTTCACGAGATCACAGAATGCGCCGAAATATCTGATCTTCGAAATAGGACTGGTCGTAAACAAACGCGGTTCCATTACCGTCTGCGTGTTGTTCTGAGCGTCTGATTGTGAAAGTTTGTTAATCACGTTCATCGCGATACGGTCTTCCGTTCAGCTTTTGATATATATAGTAATTATTGTGTCAAAATTTGCCGCATCGATAGAAATTCTGTATTTATGTAATTATTTGATGTGAGAAATAGTGCCAGGAAATACTTTTCTCTGTAAAATATTGCATTTTATGCTCTATATTGGCAAAACAGGATTTCAAATTTTATACAAAAATTTTAATTCAATACACCTATACAAATTATCAACATACAAATTATCAAGTTTAGTCGTGGCTTTTCTAGCATGACGTAACACTACCAGAGGTGTGGCTCGGCGAAATAGAAACGTGATAGAACAAGATTTTGACATCAGCAAAAACTGACAATTACCTTCATCGTTTGAATTGTCCAAAATTTGGCATTTGAATTTTTTTCAGTTATTTCAAATTTTAAGGTAAAAGTATTTTGAATTACAACAATTTTTTTCTTTATTTTGAATACCAATATATTCTGATAGTGACTTTTATCAAAAGCGGTAAGACTTTCGGTTCCTGTGTATTATGCCGTAATCGTAAGAAATATTTATGTGGCTTATGAAACCCAATTGATACTCTGACTTGTTTTGGAGATAATTTGTACATGAATATTGAGCATTATGTACTGGTTTTTCATGTTTTATACTAATGTTTCTAGGCTGTTTGAGTTCAGATGAATAGACTTTATTACGGTATACTTTTAATTAACCAGAATCATTTTTTAAATCTGTAGTAGTATAGGCAATAACAATGGAATATTTGCGGATATCTTTACCTCACCATAAAAAAAAACTTGAAAGTTTTTGGGTTTTTATCGTATTGCCAGAATACACCTGCTAATTTTCAAGAAAACCGTTGAATTCGATTTACTCACTCCCATAGACAACGTTTTACGGCCTACTTTTAATATGAAAATGAATTTAAAGCGTTAAAACATACTTAAATTTCTTTTTGAAACCGAGAACGTAATTGTGAATAAAATATTCAAATGTGTAACATTAAATCGGTCTGAAACACAATCGATCGCCGTTTATTAGACAATAAATATATTCGATAAAATAGGGGAGAATGTCAAAATAACCACTTTTAAATACTATATTAATTAATATAATGAATTTATTTATCATACTATTTAATATCCGGATTTCAACGACTTGAACTTGGTGCTTCCGATGAGGAAAAATATAATTTTCATGAAGCCTATACATACCAAGTCATTACTAATGATATAGAAATTATCAAAATATTATAAATTTATGTATGGTTTGTCAAACGTTAGTAGAATCAATCTTTCTACTGAAAATTATGGGTAGTTGCTCTAATATGAAAGCTCATTAGTTCTTTGTATTTTGTGCGTTTCGTCTCCTTTCTATATTCATATCTCATAGTTTAGCCACCAAGGAGCTGTGAAGATCAAAATTAGCATTTCCAAAATCTATCTCCACGCATGAGTCACGACACCTGTTTTCAAATCGGAATAACCTGGACTCGCTTTTTCCGACTTAAGTGTATTTTGATACGCACCGACGCCTGTCTCACCCATCATCACTCAAATCAATTTTTTACATTAATGTTGAAAACTTTTGGGTATTGTGAAATATTATCGGAGAAATGACATTTAGTTTTATTTAAGCAACGTCACACACGTTCACCAAGACGTATTATAGTAAGCCATTGAACCCCTGAAGTTGCAAAATGAATGAAAAGAGCGACCTCTAATAAATACGAGTAAAACGCTCATTTGAAGTAATCTTCCTCGTCGCGGGTGATCATTTTATTTCTTCAATTTTATTGCTCAAAAGAGTATGCTACATTCTGATATTCCAGTATATCAATATTATATATAATTATTATTGATCATTCACTCAAATACAATGATTACCGGTAATATACGACGGTCATTTATTTTGATATATAGTAATACCGGCATTCTTATACTCAAAATGTTTTTCTGCTTATTTTTCGTATATGTAAAAATGTTCAGTAAGTATATCTAAATAGGGCTTATTATATACCGGATATTTATTTATTTATGAAATTAGCAATAAATAAAAGACGGGCGACTAACATAACTTATCAATCCGCTCGACCCTTGATTTATGAGACAACATCCAAATCGAAGTACAAAGTCGCACATCCTGATTACTTTATAACTAAAGAACTGAGGAATACTGATTTTTTATTCAGCAAGGCAATTGTAAAATATAATGAACCGACCAAGCCAGTTTCGTGGGAACATTTTTTACAAAAGCTCTGTGCAGATGTAAGGCAAAACTAAGAATTGGCCAATAAACGTGATTGAGATAGGGTATAATTATGATAAAGACATTCTCAACCTGCCGTTTTGTCCCTTATCACATCTCCGAAATTGTGACATTAAATACTTCAAATTAGGCATGCGACACAAAAACTCCATTACCGTCATTTAATAGCCGGTCAACCCAATAAAAATTCTTCTATTTAGAAAAATTATGGGTTGCACTGTGATCCGATAATTTTTTGTTGATATTTTTTTGTACGAATCAAAAAAAAGTTCAACTAGAATGATAGGTTCATTCTGAAGCAAAAAAGTGTTCTTTTCTGATAAAAATAACATTACTCAAAGTTTCTTTACCGTGTATAATTTCCTGTGAAGTAATTGCTATACAGAAGGAGTATTTTGATTAACTTGTTACATCAATGTTTGATGTCAATCAATTGGAGATCAGATTAGATGATTGTTGGTGACGAAAGTAAATCAAGTTAGCGGTGCCAAAGATCGAGTGTCCCAAAACAAATCAGTGGAAATGGGTTGAGTAAATCTTGTAGGAGTTTCTGATATTGAGTTCAGAGTTAAAGTTACAGCAAGAGTTGAAATTCTCGAATCTCAGATCGAAACTCAGGATCGTGAAGCTAGTTCCGGGGATTGGCAAAAGGAGGTAAAATATCCTGCTCAAAAAATTTGACGAAAAAACATTTGTGATATTCTGTTGACATTTGAAATGAGCGAACGGGGATGCCAAACAGTATGACTTACAAGTCGAAATGTAACAAGTTGTCTACTTTCTTTTTATATAAATAAAAACAGTAGAACCCAATTAAATGACCCAAATAAATGATATTTATTTTGACCAAGGGACTAAGACCAGCTATTTTCAGTAGATTAGATAATATGATCACAAGGGTTATCCTTTCAAAATTACAAACAACAACTAGAAAGGCATTGAACTTGTGCCGGTAAGTTTTGCTCTCGTTTTTAAGTTGACGTACCGTGACGCCAACTGACACGCTGTTTTCACTAGATGTTGAATTTGAACATTTTTTTGCAAATTAAATACTCGACGTCGTGAACTGTCTTGGTGATTAAATGCAATGTGACTGGAAGAGTTGACTTGGATTCTTGACTTCTGTGAACTCAACAACTTAACAATCAAAACAAACCAGGACTCAATATAATTTAAGTTTCTTCACTTTTATTGAATAAAATGAGGAAAACCTCGAATACAAAGGCATGAGACTGCATAAGTTATATTAAGTAATAAAAGAAGCTGTTTCTTCTATATCAACGATACAGTAATATGATAATATTCGACTAAATCTACAATTTCGTGGATTACTGGGTCTGAAAACATTAGAAATGGGGTGCAATGTAACTGACACAGTGAAAAAATAAGTAACAAAAGGAAACATTTAAATGCAATGTGGAGTTATCGAATTTGTATATGGACAGGATTTATATCAACCTAAAATAAAATAATATGTTTCTTCACATTTACAATTTAGGAAGGTTCACGTTTGTCGTTCATACCAATAACGTATGAATTCTTATAACAATGTAGATTTTACTAAACATTCCATACAGTGTTCATAAAAGCTACACATTGTGCTAAACATAGCTACTGAAAAAACATATTTGATCAAAAAATTAACATAATTCGGAAAAAAAAATTAAATATTGCAAAAAGAATAAACATATAAAACTAAATTTTACTGAATTGTGCAGATGAGAAATGTGCCGAAAATAACACAATCGGTTTTTGATTCGGTACTTTTGATAATTTCTCGCACTTAGTTTATTTTTAGTTTGTATAACTGATCTTTTCTAAAATTATTAATTCAACAAAATATGAATATAAAGACAGGTAGTGATAAAACCTACACTTTTAATGAAAAACTTTTAGACAATTTAATTCGGATTTTTTCAGGTTCTAACCTCATTTCCTGTAAGAAAAAAGTCAGTCAAGCAATACATAAAAATTCCTCAAGGCACTTGCTCTCATGAGTCCTTTTTTTTGGTCAATGTTTTGTTATTTTTCATCAAATCATTCCATTCTCGATTTGTGTGAAATACCTGAGAATCTAATTTTAATAACTGTAAATTTGAATTTTGTAGATGCGCCTATTTGTTACAAACTCTGTAACTTCTTTGCTATATTTCCGCATTACTTCCAACATTTTGCCCAATATATATATATATAATTTAATATTTGGGATATTCATAAGGCGAATAAGTTCTGTGGTGCTTGTGTGGATGATGATGACTGTATTGGTGGTAGTATGCCGGTGTCGGCGGGGAATATCTTAGTTGATACCCGTGATTTCCAGACATAATTTCATCTTCATGAACTGCCTGCAGTACAGAAGTTTGATTAGGCGGGACTATTTGTCCAAAAAAATCTGTGGCAAATAACTGTGAAGCATAAGCTGGTTGGTTCTGGTTAGAACCGGTTTCGGGAAGCCATCTACCAGAACTTGGTGATTGTATGGACTGGTAGGAAGAAACTTGAGGCGTGCTGTCGTCTGGAGTGATACACTGAACAACATCTTGCTGATGATGAGAAATAGATTGTGCTTGTTGGTGATGGTGATCTAAGTATGAAGCTAAAATGACACTACTACCAGAATAATTGTCCATCGGTATGCTTGAATTACTCAGCTGCGTTGGGGAGGTTGGGCTCGCTGATAGCGGCAAAGAACTTATTGGATCGCTAGGAGGTTGTGCAGAGCACGCGATTTCTGGGGAACCACCCATTGGTTCATGTTGGTATCTGGTTATATCGTTGTATTCATTCGTTATCGGTTCAGCAGGCTCTGATTTCGTAGCTGAGCTTTGTTGGTAATGATCCTTCATTTGAGGATTACTTTCTGCCGATTGGTGGCGATAATTTGTTGGTGAATCACGTGACTCGGCGTCTCCGGTAGATCCATTAGAAATATTGACGTCACTATCTTTGGCATCCTTGATTACATCCGGTGAAATTTGAGAATCTGCCGAGGAAGCGTCGCAAGATAGATCTTCATTGTTCGAGTTTCCATTCTAAATGAAATATACATTGTGTATTACTACGATTGAAACTGCTTACTTGATTTATGAAAATGAGATGAACGATATCGAATTGCAAAATAAATTGATTACGTTCTTGAAAGAAACGTGTACTTTATCAAACGAAATCTAATTTTATGAGACTTTAAATTTATATTTGTTTAAATTCACTGAAGTGTTATGTTTTGAGACACTACTATACTTGGATGCTTTCTCGGCCTGTATCCAGAGGAATTTCTTCTGCGTTCTAAGAAATACTCTATCAAACATATCTCGAAATGTTACTTGGTAATGATAGTATATCATCTCGAAAATTTTCTCAAATTTACAAGAAGTATACTGACCATTCACAACTTATGAAAGATGCGAAAAATTCTGGGTACTTCATAAATAAATAGGCCAAAAAGAGAAGTTTTTTGGGGGAAAAATAATTTATTCACACCTCTTTCTTTTCTTTTTTAAATCGCTTCCTTCTCCTCAAATAACTTCCGTTCTCGAACATGTTGTAGGAATCTGGGTCCAGAGTCCAGTAACTTCCTTTACCAGGTTTCTTGTCATCTCTGATGAAAAAATATATAAATCATGAATCTTAACTAAAACAGTTTGTGGTGGAAATCATCTGTGTGGAATTCATTAGCGCTTAGTTAAATAATTAGTATTATCATAAATTATCATTTCTGGAAAGTGTCACATATCTTAGCGGTTTTAAAGATAACAAATAATCATACAGTTAGGAAAATAAAAAAGAGAATATTAGGAAATAATCGATGATCAAAAATAGATTCTTGAGTGGAATGGGAAGGAACACGGTATTGGAACGCACCGGAAAACCGTAATTCCGTTGTTTTTGTCAAGGTATCAAATTTTATGAGCATTTTTTATGTTTACATTTTAAATTATTTTTGGTCGCTGTCCGAATATGGATTTAAAAACTGTTTGCAAAGATACACATTCCATCCGGTTGCAAATTAAACAAACTATCATTTTTAATATTTTACTACGAATATATGAAATAATTATTAAAATAAAATTTGTAATAAAATCAACTGCTAACGATAAAAGTAAGTAAAGTTAAACAAAAAGTATGAACTTTTTAAGTGTTGAAATACTGAAAACATGCATTAGAATTTCACGATCCGGTGTCCTTCGCTGAAAATGATATTTAAAATTACCTCGGAATTTTGACAAAGCATTCGTTAAGTGATAAATTATGTCGAATGGAATTCTGCCACCCTTGTTTGTTTTCCCGATAAAATGGAAATCTTTCCATAATCCATTGATAAATCCCGTTTAGTGTTACCTTTGAACAAAACAACAAAGAATTAGGGAACACAGAATTATTGTCAAATCGGCCATGAATAATGCTTGGATAATTTGACGTAAAAGAGATAAAAACATCGTTGATTCGCGCTTGATTAAGGTAAATAATGAAGAAAAAAGAATGTACACTAAATCTGTTTCTGTTAGTGAAATTCAATACCCCGACGTGGCGAACGTAATTTTAATCGGTTTGTTCTTACGATTGCTAACTGGTTGCGACAAAGTTAAGCTTTGGAACAAAACCAGTTATCGTAAGATAATGTTACAAAATTGTCTACATTTTACTTTGAAAATAGAATTTAATTTTTCACTTCGATTATATTTGATCTTACAAGAAATAGACATCTCTTTCCAAACGAATGGAACTTGGGAACATGTATTTGTAGATCGAGTTCAGTGATAACATTTGACTTGTTAAACTTGGTGGTTGACAATAGGGATGAATTTCATGTCATATTCGTCGTGATTGAGAATAAAAAACTCAATTCTAAACTGGACGCAAATCTTTGACCTATTGACTAAAATCCCAAATGAAAGTGCAATAGCCGTAATATAAATGTATGTATCATCTATAGATATCAATTATGCAGCTCGTTTACATTTCGGGTCACACCTTCGTATAGATCGAAAAATGACGTATATGCTATAACGCATGAATTTGTCCCTTAGAATTTAGATCGCTATGATTTGTTTTTTTCCTGTGTTGAATAATGACGTTTTTTTGACTATGAAACATGGGAGTGTGTTGGAAGACAATCTACCGGTAATTGATGTATGATTGTAATGTTGCAGGCGACCAATGCTTTTGCGAGCGAAGCTAAACAATTTTCTAAATGTTTTTCGCGACACGGTTTGCTTTGATAAATATTAAACAAATGTTATAAATGCTCATGTTCTTACCTTCTTATCTGTCGCTTCATTAATCGCCATTGCAATGAGAGCGATATAAGAATATGGTGGTTTGACCATGTCTTTGTTTTGGTGGTGATGATGATGATGATGACTGGAAGCATAAGCCCCGTAAGGAGAATGAGCAGGGTGACTGACATACTGATCGGGCCTATGTTGATGAATACCTGAATAAAAAGTAACGTTAAATAAAAAAAACTTCTATTTATGATATTGCAAGTATGGTTTGTAACATATTCTCTATAGTCTATTGTATCACTTTATATTCTGAATGGAATAATGTATAATTTCACGCAAGCGAAATAGAGTCACAAACGCACTTTATGTCAATGATAACGTATTCCAAATTTCACCGCCTTTGAACAAACGTTATCAATATGAGGTCACAATAGTCCTAATCTTGATGCAAGAGGTCAAATAAAACGAAAATATCATTGTTTATATAATTATGGGAAGACGTAAAATATAAAATAAAATAACACTGAGCAAGGACATTATTATTTCAAATATAGTGTGATTGTTTCTGAATTATTTCAATGATAGTACAACTTCATATTTCCGGGTTATTCTAAAATCGAATTTATTTTGAATATTCATCAATTATTTCTAATTCCCCACGGAACAAATTTTTTTTAATTTTGTAACTTTTATTCCATGATGACCCGATAAGGTAAATTTCCTCACTTGGACCAAATTTTGTTTGCCTCGGAGCCATTTTGTTTTTTACATTATAAATCACTAAACGATATCGATAAACATTGAATTAGCCACAAAATTACGGCCACCTCATCATCAAACACATGAAAGAAAATTCGTATGATAAATAAATTTCATCGAAAATAAACGTGAAATGAGATGTTACGCTGCCAATCCCACACTGCCCTGTATACTGTGTGAAACCGACAAGAACTGTTTTCAATCAAGGACCACATTTGAACCAGGCTATAATCGCCTCGCCCATCTTTCGGCCGTATATGTGAAAGTACCATCACGTGACTATATCTTCCTTATAACTTTGCCTGCGTAAGTTGTCAATCATACAGATCGCGAGCGGCACATCAAAGTGTTATCAGCGATACGTGTTTATAAACAGACGCGAAATATGCTCACGGCGACGATGCCGTGTGGCGGTCATGACCATTCTCCTATTTTTCGGGTCCCTTGAAAGTTTTATCGCCCGAATATGCTCAAAAAGAAATGAAAAAAATTTCAGGAATATAACGTAATCTTCAAATAGATCCATTGTAGTACAGATATACCATATTGCAAAACTATTTCAATATAATTGTTAATTCAGTTAACTATTTATTTAATTGATTTATGTAATTAATTATGAATAATATTGAATAAACGATCTCCATTTTGAATTATAATCGCATGAGTCAGCCATTAACGAAGACAGTTTTGTCAGGAAATCTATGTCATACAACATAACCAAACCCAAAGCCTGGTTGTGTTCTAAATTATCAATCGTTCAATCGCTCACATATATATTTCTTGTACCAGGAAGTACAATAAAAATTCGAAAACAGTCATAGTAAATTCCTGCTTAAACGACAAACAAAATATTCATTCATATTTTATCATCAATTTGCCGGAATTCATGATATTAAAGCTCTAATTGAGAAAATATTATAAGGACGCACACACTATAAAATATTTTTATTATTAAAAGTAATTATTTTTGACCACAAGGTTTTTACCACCTTCGCATCATTGGCAATGCATGTGTAATAGTGTGTGCTCAACCTTTAAAAGCAAACAAAATTAAAATGTATCAAGTTCATTATCAAGATAGTTTACAGAATCCAAGCGTCGATCATTCGTCAAAATACACCAATTATTCAAATCAGTTAAAGCGTGATGTGAAGGTCGACTTTGCTTGAATAGAACGATAGCACGACTTTTTGGTAAAAAATTGGGGTTTGAAGAATGAAAAAAATGGGAAATAAAACAATATATCACACTATACATGAACCAAAGAAAAATATACTTCCTGTAGACCATGCACATGCAGGCCATTTATGAACAATAACTTGTCTAAAACATTATCTAATAATAAATTAATCATGATTTATGTCCGATCAAGTTAATATACGTTCGTAAAATATTAAGGGCGTCGTCTTCTAAACTTTTCATTCATCAACGTACATCATGATATAAATTTGGATGTACTTCTATATGCATTTGCTCGAAAAAGGTCAGAAGTTTGGGCTATACCTTATAAGTCAAAACTGTGTAGGTAATAATAATCGAAAGGTGAATGTTGACTATCTGCAACCTTCCAACTCAATATTGGAAATGCATTGTGTTTTTGATTCAGTTTATTGTCCTTACATGTTGAATGAGTGGTCATAACCAAGGGAAAAAAATCAAGGAAAAAAAGAAATTCAGTTTGTTCGGTATATTGGATTTACATAACATACTATCAAATTTATTCTGATATCAATTAATTTGATTTTATTAATTTTTTTTCGAGGAAGACAGGTCGTCAATTTTGAATTCAAATCAAAAATTAAAATCTCAATTTAGCGCGTAGGAGGAATTACTCTTCCTGGAAAAGGCTAATATTAGGTCAGGACCTCTCACAATTTTCGATTTACAAAGAACAAAAGCCGGATTTTGATTTTTCGGATTTGCCTGCTTAATGTACCTTATAAGGGCACAATCTGTAACACAATTACCAAAATCATACAATAGGTAGATTTTTTAATATTACACCTTTTTCAGATATAATTACTAGAATTTTAAATTTTAATTAAAAAAAATGGGATATCAGAAAAATGTGCAATGCAAAAATCGAATATCCAATGCCAATCAAATATCGTGCATATCAAATTTGACTATTAGGACAAACAAAATGTTAAAATTCCCTTTTTTCAAACCTAGTTTTTCCATACTATGTCACAAATTTAGCATGTATCAGCTTAGGACATATTTGTTTGCAAATCTTTATTGGACATTATTAATATAGAATTACGCCAAATGATATGAATCACATTTTCGATTCTTTTGCGTCGACAAAAAATAAAATCAGCATCACGTTAGTTATTTCATTTCCTATTCATATAATCTATTTACATGCCCGTATGCTTACGTGAAATATTAATTTGTGTGGATGAAATAAATTATATCACTATTTTGATGTAGTAGTGACTTTTTTGAAATTTTCTCTATGTCGAACTCTTTAATTTTAGATAAATTGAAAACTAAAAACAGATATATATATCTTAAAGTGTCGTATTCATTTTATCATTTGACATAAGATAATCATTTTCAAATATATATTTTTATTGCTACATGTGGTATGTATTGCATGATAGTTGATTTCGTTGGATTGACAAAAGAAAACAAATTTTCTCTAGAAATAGAGCAAGGTTGGCAGTCGTCACCATCTGTCTAGGCTTGTACATTTTTATTTGTGACGTCACGAAACTAGAAATTTTCTCCCGCCATTTTGAGTCTGAGTTCAGTATAAGTCAATATTATCTTTATTTACATATGTAAATATATGTAAATACCGGTAGTTGAAGTCTCAAATGTCAGATCGTTCCCACTTATTATTTTAATGAAATTATTAATTAATTTACTCATTGTGGAATTTTTGTGCTATGCCTAACCCATATAACTAATAGGCTCAATAAGATCAACAATATGCATACGAGTTGATTTTTTTTATTCAAAATAGCAATTAAAACCCCACTCCCAAAAAATAAATGTGGATATCATCAATGTGAATTTTAACTTTATACAGAACATAACTCAACACCCATTTGATCAAACAAATAAATTCATTCAGCTTAGCGTGGGTGTCGAATCTTTCAAACAGACACAATCAGATAATGTATTTTTATTGTCTCAATATCTTACGCGTCAGGGAAATACGAACTAGGCATAATTAGGTTTAATTTCTAATTTATGCAAACATTAATTTGATTTTTACAAGGTTCACCTACAGTAGAAACGGTTTCACAGCCTCCCAAAATGCGTCAATGAACAGGCCTTTCGATTTCGGTTTCATTTTAACCCTGCTACGCGAATCGGCCATAATATTATTTGACTGCTTTTGGTTTGATACAGCGGTATACTATATATACTCTCATGAGCGACTACAAATGTATTAGATACAATATTGCCGAAGGTTTAAATCGAACTTTTCAAGTTAAATTGAAACTGGGATAAATGATTTTATTTCTAGTTGATTTACTTTGGTCCTTAGCGATATTTTTGCCAATTTTATTTGAATGTGTATGTAATATAATGCTACTCTTTCACTATGAAACGAATGAGTTAAAGACAAATTCAAATTGTGCGATCTCCATTGTTTGTTTACAGCTCTATCAACATCGTTCCATCCGCTATAAGTCGCCCACGAGTGCGTGGGAGGAGGCAAAACAGAGGACAGCTTATGTGCGGTTTACAGACTACACAATTATCGCAAGTGCGGAAGGATTTGTCATCGCAAAAAGATGTGGTAGAAAATCCCGGGCGTTTCCGCACGCTTTGCTGCATATTTTCAGTTGTATGGAATAGCGAGTACAAATATTTCCATTTTTCGTAGTATATTCAAAACTCAAAAGTACTCACTCACTTAAGAATGAGGAATGAGTTGTATCGACTCAAACAAACATTCATCACAAGATAATATGTAACCAATGTACCAACTAAAATATATAAGGCATCTTGGTTTGTACCGTTAACTTAAATCTGACTATTGAGATGCATGGTTTCATTTTACCATATATATATTGACAACATATGAACTCATATGACAAAAAATTTATGCTTGCTTGAATATGACATTCATCTGATCAAAATATGAGGAATTGCAAAATAAAAATTGTCCTAATTATTTTAGAAATTTAGTAATTATTTTGACAAACAAGCATAAGTTGTACACTTCAACAAAAATGCGCCTCATTATCACTTTTCGTTTAAATTGTACTTTTTTTAAATCCTCGCCTCTCTAGTATTAAATTATATAAACTAACAACTCAGTTTAATCAGTGAAAACTTTCACAAAATTTTTTAAATTACTATAAACAGTTTGTACAATCCTCGCCAGAAAAAGGTTCTAATATCTTCAATAAAGCACCCGTGCCTAAAACGACTGAATGGCTAAACTTTATTGATATACGCTGAATAAGTAAGCCTCAATTGTGTTGTTTTAAGATGAATTCGAATAAAATAATAATAATAATGAATATAAATTAACTATATTTGTCTGGGCGATAAAAATGACGTCACAAAAATTGGTGCTTATAGAGAAAACTTTTGCCAGACGAAAACGTCATCGTAAATTTGTTGATTTTCAAAATATTTTGATCGTTTCACCAGACTACAATGTTTACTATAAAAATGATTTTAAGGCCCAATCACAACGTTGCAAGAATAATACAATCGTGGTGATATTGTTACCCTAACCATTGATAATTGAGCAAACATAATATGATATATGTTTTGATGGATATTGTTTGTTATGGCACTTGTGATTCAGACACAAGAATATAAATTTTGTCTGCTACCACGATAATTAAATTCGACAATTTGTCACAAAATGATTTTACTGAGCAGCTATTTGGACATACACGCGGAAGATTAATATGTTATTGCAATATTTAATAATTTCGAAACGGGAAACGGCATTGACCATAAACGCGATTCAAAACATATTGAACCTTAATTTAGTTTTATAACCAAAAGTATTATCTAAATCTTCAGTGGGCATCATTAACTAATGCACAAGAAACATCTAACAACTTTTTTTAAGCAGTGTTATGTGAAATTGGGGAAGCGTGCTCTACGGCAATTACAGAGGTTAGAATCACACGAAATCACTTGGTAACTTCGAGTCTTCGTCGGCGCATTGGACCGCAATGAGTAAAAGTTGAATGATAAAAATCTTACAGATGCAATTTTGACACAAATTATATTTCATCACGACGAGCCAAGGAACGGAAAATTGTTGTAACCATACAGACTCAAACATATAAACTAGAATGAAATCGTTAGGGTGGTCTTTATCATTTTGTCAGCAAAATTTTCCCGCTGCTAACCCTCACGATATAATGTGAAATTCAGATAATCTAGAATTGAGTTTGCGCAGATAATAAAGCTTGGAACAGCATAATTGTATGAATGTTTGGTGATAGTGTATAGGTCTTTAATTTTCGATCATAAACTCAAAATCCGGGGATGGTACACTGTGTTAAATTCGCAAAACGGTTTGAACAGCGAATGTAACTGGAAAAAAAAAGTTCATAGTAGACAAAAGCATATAACCACAACTAAAATTGCCTGTAATTACAAATATGATGTCTTTATAATTGTAACTGGTTCAAATAACTTTGTTCGATGTTTTCTACACTTCGATAAAATAAATAAAAATTGTCGGCATTTCATGGTCATTTAAGATTGGAGTCACTTTGATCGACCCGGTTTAAGTGCAATTATTTGGAATTCTCTGGCATTAAAATAAAACAACTTCAAAAAATAAACATAAAAAAAATCAATTTTTACTGGAACAAAACAAAAAAAAAATCAATTTATATTGGAAAGGGTTTGGTCCTTTTTGTTTTATACATAATCATTTGATTCTTAGATTTTAAATATATTGGGAAACTACTTATGATGCTAAATAAATTCTTATACCCGAGCTCATGAGTACTCAAAAAACTGTATAAGTTTCTTGGTGAAATAAGAAGACTTGATGAAATTCGCGTTCCGCGGTCGTCGACATTAAATTTTATTGACTCAAAATTAAACTCCCGATGTATTTGTATGGAAAAGCCTGGAATATTTCATGATCTCGTAAATACCCACAGTCGATTAATTCAAATTGAAATGAACCATTGGAATTTCAACGCGTTGAATATATATATACAAAATGAAATTCCAAGTAAATTAATGATTTTTAAAACTAAGTTACATCTGCCCAAAAAGCGACAGTTCTGTCTATATGAAGTGGTCGATCAAGAAATCTCCTTTTGGAGCACAGTAGAAACCGGGATACAGAAAATTGAAAACTTGAGTTTTCGATAAGAACTCAACCAGGAGCAATTGACAACATTATTGTATCGCGCAAAATAATTCAAAAACTATTTACACCATAATTTGAACAGAAATATTTAGTATGATTGTCTGTTGCTTGGATAAGAAACTGCCTTGGTCGCCATTTTATTTTGTCGCGCCGGGTATTCCTTTCCCTAAATTGTGCGAGTCACACGAAAGTCACTTGCGACGGAAAGCAATACCGTGAAATAACCGTTTGCTTCAATTGATCTATTTGGGATATTCTGAATAATCTTTGTATTTCATTTATAATACACATCGAATTCAATTCTAATTCGCTTTGGTTTCATAACAATATCATTGACTAATATCACACAGTTGATATGATACTTTGGATGAAAATTTATTCGATTACGCCAAGCATATTGTGCGTGAGAACGAGTAATGGAAACTGTATCAAGTATTGAAATGTAAGTAATCTGATGATGGTTAAATCTAGCAACGATCGTACTCGAACTTGTATAATGAATAGTACGCGTTAATTGCTATGAACATGATAAAATGCATTTCACAAATGTACAACTGATACCAAATAACAATATTTCTATTTGATTCTCCAATCTGAAAGTCACATTCGGTCGAATGCAAAAAACATAGCCAAACTTTACAAAACCGTGTGTAGTTTACAAACTAATTTATTTGAAATTCAATAAGAAAGATGATAAGTTTCTTGACTCTTGCGTTTGAAATTGACCTACAAATCAAGATAGCGTCGAGCCGCATAAAAACATGAAAATGCTGCCTTATAAATTTCACCCCAAATTCTCCTTTTACCCTGATACTACAATGCACTTCTAAAATACTCAATAATGAAAGTTTACTTACTTGAAATATCAATAGATTGATATCCAGTTGACTGATATGGAGGATAACAACCATGATCGGCTCTCGGATACATATTCGGCGGAACAGAAGTCGTCATCGACGGCTGAGGTGAGCCGTGAGTTCCTGGGTGATGCGCGTTAATCGGGTAACCTATCTGCATTGTCATGCTCATTGAGAACCTGAGAATTTGCTTGCTTATTTATTTACTTTCCTCCACCATGCGTTTTCAAATGGCAATGTTGCTGTTGTTTATTCACTGACTCGGTCGTATTTTATAATTGAGGACCAGATCGAGACTATTGAATCAGATTTCTAATCGTAGTAGGCTGATTCCCCCAAAAGGTTTGATATCAAATGATAGAGATTATTGCTTCATTCACTAATTTATTAACTCCGCCTCTTTCCTGTTCTCGTGTTAAAGCGGAAAAAATTGAGCTCCGTTGAACAAACAAAGGCTGACGTTACGCACCGGTAATCATCTTTATGCGTATGCCAGGTATTTAGTTAGACCTTCTATCATTTTACTAATACGAAGAAGTGAGGAATCGTATTTCGTAAGATTATTATTACCATTTTTTCTACTGTAATTATTTCTCTCTGTCGCCCTCTGGCACGTGTAACCTGACTCTGCAATAATTGTCATTGAATTATATCAATGACATGCGCGATTCACAACTGAAGACGACATTATGTACGGTTCATTTGTAATCTTCAAGCATATAGTAAATATTGATTAACGTAATTTTCATGCCTAAAAATACCAACAAAATGAACATAGCTTTTAACCCCTTCAAACTTGATGTAACCATCACCATCGAAATACTAAAAAATTGCTTTTATGCAAGCGACTTGGCGTTCTTACCACAAATTGCCCTTTGCCAATGAATAACCTCTGTACAGCAAATAAGTATAGCGAATAAAATTAATTTGACATTGAATGTTGAAACACAAAATGTAATTTTTATTATTTTTATTTGACTTTTAAATGTTTGCTTATAACATTCTTAAATCGATTTAGGTGCAAAGACCGTGAAAATAAATTGAATTTGATGAGTAATTATTATGTTTGTAACTATAATAATTTGTCATCTATGTCGATTGAAAGCAAAAGATCCAAAAATTAGATGCATTAAGATGGCGGAAATTGGAACTTAGTATGTGTACCAGGTAAGGGTTAGGCCAAAATTTTATTTTATTTTTCCACATTTTAGTTCTATCACACGAGTTCGGGGACTAGCCAAGTGACTCACGTAGTATTTGTGCCTGGAATTATGGTCTAAACCTAACCTGGTACACATACTACGTTCCAGTATCCGCCATCTTAGTTTTACATACTTCGGGAGTACCAATTTGTGAAGTGATTTAAAATTTCAATCCAACGTATTTCAGTGAGTTCTGATTTGCTTGGGCTGTTGGTGGAATGTGCCTAAAGATACCACACATCTGAATAAGCGTATCCATTGTTATTGTTGTTCTTCTAATGCCTGGGACGTTGCAGGTGCATTAGATGTAAAATACAAAAACGAGTTCCAAACATTATGATCATATTTAGCGATATTCTTAACATAATCCAGTGATTTACTGATAAATGTGAAACGGTAAATGAAATTTAGAGCCTTGGTTTGAATTGATGGGTTCACAGGACTCAATAGGATCTGTTATCTTTTATTTAATCGTTCTTTTGTTTCACTTGTTGACACAGCGAATTTAGATAACGAACAAGATTTCCCCTTTCGCTTGCAAGTAAAACGATTAACTAATTAAGGAAGACTTGATTGAACTAATATTTGAAGGGTATTATAAAATAGTTAAAGAGAAATATGACACGCGACCCACAAAAAATGGAAGATTAAGGGATACAGTGCACCCGTTATCTACCGCAGGTGTGTCAAATTATCCCATCCATTGTTTTAGTAGTTATTCAAGGTAAAGGCAATATGCGCTTGGTTTATTTTCGATGGTATTGAAAATGTTGTTAAATAAAATGACTGTTGGTAATAGGCATGTAAATACAATACAGAGTAATTTCAATTTCTAAAACTCCAATTAAAGACACCTTAATTGCGATGGAATATTTTAAGCAAGAGCGATTCAAAAAACAAGTAGATTGAATTTTTGCATTTGACTCGGGGTTCATTACTTTATTTATCTGCTTAGACGATTCCCAAAATATTATATATTTGAGCGTACTAGTATATAATAATATTGCGTTCAAATGCAATTTTGCGGCATTTGCAGTAATCCATAAATTTATACGCCTTTTCCCACACCATTTTGCTTTATTCTTGAACGATTTACGGAAAAAAACGGACGTATTCTGGCTTGCTATCAATAATTCTTTCACCAAATGAAACAAACGAAATAGATGAAAATGCGTGCTTATAGGCCTTGGATAACTTCGACAGCAAAGTACGCTTGTATTGGGATTCCTTAAGATATGGCTACTTTTATCTGGCTTTGTTCCGGGGCAAAAGGCACGAATAAGCGTCGTATTACGTCATTATACAAAACAATTGACTTGGGATAAGAAGATAATTTTGAGCGAGTCTTTAAAATGACAAAAAATAAGGTTTACCAGGTAGTTTAATGATTTAATGATAATGAAAATTTAGTTTTCTACAGCAACAACTTAAAAGAGGCCGTACTCCCATATACGTAAATGTTGTAAATTGACGACTTAATCCTTGTTTAAATTTCAAAATGACGCGTTAATATCATTGGAACACATACTATTTCTAGGTTGTTTATGAAATATATTATGACTCGACTCGACTCAAAACAGAAACGAATCGATTTGTGACTCGGGAGTGCGGTGACTCGATTGGGACTTGAACACGGAATTTGCTGGGACTTGGAAATTTGGATAATCCGAGATTCAACTTGGGTGTTTACGGATAACATTGGGTCTTTTTCATCTACATTTCATAGATATCTAACAATATCTTAAAAATTCTCTCTGCGGACTTACTTAGCCGTCGAAGTTATCCAAGGTATACAAGCCCGGATTTCAATCTATCTCGGTTGGTTCATTTGGTGAAAAGAATATTGATGGCAAGCCAGGAAAAGTCAGTTTCAGTAAATCATTTAATAAGAAAGGAGTGGGTAAAATGATGGTGGAAAAGGCGTAAAATTTAAAAATAATATTTTTTTTTCTGGGAGGGCTCCCTTGACTACGCATATGCTTGAAACGCATCGAAATCGGCATTGTGCATTTAAACTATTCTGTTCTATACTTAAGACCGTTCAGTTCCACCAGGATAACTTAAAGGCTGTGAGACGGACATCTAACAAGTATTCACATAATATACTGGTGTATGTTGACACTCGCCGATAAATTGCAACAGCAACTATCATTATTTCTTTATTTCTAAGAATAAACAAATCATAAACGTTGAAAGATCGATGCCCAATAAGCCCATGCAGTATTTCATAATTGTGTAAATGTTATTATAAAAGTGGCAAGAACAATATTTTTCATGTGTACGTTTCCTTAAACATTTCCTCCACATTTATTATGATAGACCTAATCTAAACCTTCGTTTAATAATGCTTTTAAATATAAAAAGGTAATTTCACTGAATTAGTGAGTAATTTCTCACGTATCTTAAGAATATTAGCGATATAATCTGACTTATTTATGACTTGAGGGGCGTAAGAACAATATTGTTCGTATAGCAAACAAGCTCGCAGCATTGCGTATTGACGTCGGACATTAAATTACGTAAAAAATATTTTGATTAAAAACATGGAATCCGTTATCTTTTCCTTATATGGTGAAAACTTGATTTTTTTAAAATTGGACTTTGGATATATCTTGGTGACATTTATTATGCATCTAAACATCTTAATAAAAAATAACAATAACGAATTGATATGTGAGATTGTTTGTCGTTTATCCCACGAGCAACAACGTTAAAATGCGCGATCGCGATTTTGGTTCTTTCTGTAGAATTTAATTTTACCGACATCAAATCAATCAACGACAGAATATAATGGCGGTAACGGCACCCGTAACATCATATATTACTCTATGTTACATGTTGTAATGTGGTGGGCTAACGTATTTTAACCGACAACTCTTAGAAATTCAAATACAGAGCACAAGATAATTTTATGCTTTTGGCGACACGTCTTTCTGCACATGTTGATGTGAAAAGCTCAATCAGTAAGTGTAAACGATTTCGTCGATGTTGCCGGGTAGTGGTCAAAGGCTGACCAGTACAAGTGAAGTGACCACACATATGTTGTCTGTCATCCTGGAGCGCCCTGTCTTGCAAAAACTGAAAGTTTGACTCCGTAGTGTATTTTGTTGACAGATGTCGGCACTTCAATAGGCGTAAGTCTGTGTGCCCACTTAATTTAGACAAGATTATATATTGATTTCATTTTTTAAGCTCTTGTTGCTCGAAAAAAAACGCAACATCAACGTAACGTACATAAACCCAAAATAAACGAAAATTACATTTTCAAATACAAAGATTTGGATACTCATGCAAATTCGGCTTGGTCATATTTCTTTCTTTAAGTTTAATTTCACCATAGTTGGTATTATGCTTCGTCAGGTAATAGTCGACAATTAGAATGAAAATATTTAATTGCAATTCTATTTGAAAGTTATAGAAAAAAAGAAAGTCGAATAACATCTAATTTATTTCAAGTTTGAAGACCCATCGGTGAAATTTCATATTGGATATGGTTTTGGAAGCATAAAACTAACTGAGCGTCGCACAATAGAACTGACCGGTGGACATGCGCACCAACATCACGCGAATCCGATGCGGTTGATTGGAAGTTTACGTTGGAAATTTATGCTCACATACACGGGTCAGATTTTAACACATTCTAAACTGATCACGAAGTAAGAATACTTATCGAAATATGTTTTCAACAAAATGGATGTCGAAAAAGAAGTTTGTTCGCAACCGTTGTCAAAAACGAACTTCATGCCATCGCCAAGTAAACAAAAGTATTCTAGTCGTGACTTGTCATCGAGGAATTAAAAGAAATTTCATTTGGAATGCTCGAAAGTTAGATGTATTTATACAAATCAAGAGCAAGCCGTGATATAAGGTGATGACTCCACGTTACGGGTGGTTTGACCTCTTCGTACTAAGGTCCGGACCAAACCCTGGCAACACAATGGACTCTATAGTTAGTGACAGATGACAATGAATCTAGATGGCTGCTGCTGAATGAAATTGCTTGATATTTACGTTATCTTTTCCGAATTAAAGTACGCTGCAAAAAACTGAAACAAAATAAGTGAGGTTTTACAGTTGATAACATTCATGCTGATTTACGAAATCAATCTCCAACCAACTTCGATATGCTAATGACGTTTAACTTAGATCGTGATGGAAGATTCAATTGTTTGATCAATTGTACTTTGAGATTACTTGCAATATGGGAATATTTTACGATATATTTAGCAGTATATCCGTTGGTAAGGCGTTTGCGACACAATGCTTCTGAACGGGTTTCCAATTGTTTCCGCCAAGCTGAATTCAATAATGGAAGTTATATGAATGTTATTCTTGCGGTGGAGTCGGCATTTCCATCTAAGGGATTTCCAATGTGAGCTTAACGAGAAATAAATCCCTTAACCTGATACTGGTCATTTGCTGCCACAGACCAAAACTATATCCACGCGTGAATCGCCCCTCAAAATGACGCTTTGGCAATTTTTAGTTGAACTCTAATACCCGATTATTTTATTAAAATTGAACAATATAATCCCCAAAATGTTACTATATCGTTATTCTCTCTCTTCGCCTGCATTCAGAGTCGTCTACCGGTAACTTTACGTTGTATTGTCATTTTCACCTTCAAGTGACAACAATGCAATCAAGCGACACTAGTCGCATGCCAACACTTTTAACAAAAGAGCAATAAAAGTTCGCAAACGATTCTCCACCGACGATGAAGCGTCAGTTTATGTGATTGGCGGCTCGATCACAATGAAATTTGACTTGATTCAACGGTTAAAATGGCGCTAGCCTTTTTACTTGTCATATTGTGACACTCATGTCACGGAAAATCGTTTTCTTCTTTAGAGTCACGAGCATGATTAATCTTATTATCAGTTATAAATAGCACTCCAAAATCAAAGTAAACCGTCAAATAAATCATGTTTAATTTTTTTAAAATACATGTATATACAATTACTTTTTTATTTCTACATCATTAATATTCGCCAACGAAAATGTAAAATTCCATATAATAAACTCCCTTATTAGTGTCATCCGTGGATAGAGAAGCATTACTGCACCATACAATATAATTCCAAGTTACAACCAAAAACAAACTATTATTTTTAATTTCAATTTGTACTGAAGAAAGCGTCTGCAAATAAAGTAATAAAGTTTCGATTATTTTAGTATAAAGAATTTTGAAATATTTCCAAATAATTAACAAAATAGAACAGCTGCTAGAAATTAACATCTTTGGAGGTGCTCATTATTCGCGGATTATATTCATGATATTATATTGTTCTAGCTATATTGCATTGCGCAAATAGCCTAATTTGCGATTTATGTTATACATTGCCCCATGTGTGCATGTCATAAATTCACTCTTTATGGACCATCGGTTACAGTTAAAGGTATCAGAAAGTGGATACAACAAAAGTTACCTAAACAATCTGTGTGTACATAGTTTCATAATTCATTCTCTACAACACTTCAGTAGCTGTAAATATAATGAAATTGCCACACTCTTGCTCCCTCTGCTTGTATCGCGTGTAGGACTGTAGGTAAATTTCGATAATCTATTATTTCGTTTCATATACAACAAAGTGACTATAAACCACTTGTAGTGACTATAGTCACTTTGATATACAATAGCAAAAACACCACACAGAAACGAAACGGCTGAGAATCCGGAGAGAACCCGTCAGAAATAGGGACCGTCAGAGGTGTAATCACTTTGTGACTACTGTAGTTGATGTTGAGTAAATTAATCGGGGACAAACGTAATTAAATGGCCAGGGTCGCCATTGTGCGAGATGCGTACAACATCACTTGAATGACGCATATAACAAAACGGATATTATGTAAACGTTGGCCTCCGAGGACCTATTCCTTGTACTTCATAAAGGCAGTTGCGATACGCGGTAGAGACGGTGCCTGAAATGTTTCCTTTTTCGTGCGTAAAAGTATTTATTAGATAATAGAAAACTTATCGTCGACGATAGTTGTTCGATTTTCAAGTCTGAATCATTTTGATGTCGATAGCGGAAATTGATAAAAAGTTCGATACCAACCCCGGTATAACAAGTCCGGTTTTCAACTATATATATCAAATATACCAATACCACTGTTGTATCCGCTTCAATGAATTTGACTATCATGATAATAATTTTTGTTCAAATGAAAACCTATAAATATTGTACGTTAGTCAAAATATTCGTGACACGGCGGTTCATTGCCATTTTACCATAGTCTGCAAGTTAGGCGCTTCGCACCGATAGGAAAATGGAGATGAGATTCTTTTTAAACGCAACCTTGAAACTAATCCCCATTCAACACCCCCATAAAATACGTTAATTGAGAGTAACCCTATTGTTACATTACACATATATATTTCAATCTACTTGCGCAGTATGGTATATATATATATATATATACTTGTCTAGCATACGGACCCTAGTCGTGGCAGGGTCGCACACAAAAAAAACGGGTTGTACACAATCCACCTTCACATAGTCAAAACTGCATCTCGTTCCGATAAAGATGTCCAGTAGACATCGTGTTATCACAATCCTGAACATAACAATGATTTAATTTTACTTTTCAGATAGCCTACGTTTTTTTTCAATTTGACTAGACTCGGCTTGGCCCAAGCCTCGTTCAAACAAGGTTGTGTTTTTTGTGTGTGGTGGTAGCGGGCACATGATATTTTTCAGGTTTCAAACTTTGTTTAAAATTATTTCTCTCTCCCTTGTTAATTTGAGTGTATTATGGAGTTTTCAAAATAAACTATCTATCTATCAATGCTTTTTGAAATAGAATCTCAGTAGAATACATTGATATTCGGATGAACACAAGCTGATTTCATAAGCAGTTCATTTGTTTTTATCAATCATTTTATCGCCTGGTATGAACTTATTGGCCTATTGTTCAGTTTTGTATTGCCGCACTATCTTTTTAAAATTTTTTAAACCTTATAATGTTGGATTGAATGGGTCGTATTTGTGTTTATGGCAATGCATCAATGTTGGTGTTACAAACACTATGCGTCCTTATTAAAATATGTGAGCCATATGGAGACCATGACAAATTTATTAAAGTCCAGTTTGTAAAATATGTTGCCTTAATTATTTTTAGTGTATCCACGTCTTGAATTGTATTGAAAGTTATCGTCCGATTTTATATTGTTTTGGGGTCATTCTACAGTGTGCTTCTTTCCACATGTTTTAACTTCAGGCTGAGTTACGATCACATTCGGGGGAAATATGCATTTTGTTCGTCCGTTTATTATTTTGTTTTGTTTGACATTCTGCTAAATTAGAATCCGGAATGCCAGGGATTGACAAGTAAATCAAACACAAGTCAAACAAAACCCATCGTTATATATAGTATAAAAATATATTTCTGTTCTATAAAAATAGAACGAATCATATGAATAATAGAGATTGGATAACAACAATAATTTGATCATGGATTCAGAAAAATAAACAGTCGAAACAAAACTACTCATTAAGAGATGCAGGTAGAGTTTCTTACAGTATTATCATAAAGAGTCGAAAAGACAGCTGAACAGCAGTTGATAAAACTAGGACAACATTACAACCAGTCGTTGAAATGCTGAGAAATATCCTGAACAACGTTTGAAAAAATTAAGACAACGGTACAACCAGTCGTTTGAATGCTAAGAAAAATTTTTTAGTGTTTCCAGGAAAAATTGCTCATCCTCTAGAAAACTCTGATCCTGCAAAAAAAAAATTATTTTTATTTACTATTATCATCTTACGGTCACATTGTATATGAGATTCATGAAAAAAAAGTGTGGTGTTTCGAAACGTTGGTGTAGGCAATATTACTATATTTGACAAATGGATAGATAACATCAAATACCACTTTATGGTGATATAATTATTTTGAAAGTTACCATGTATGTTTCCAAATCCCAAACAAACCAAATTCTATTCAGATCTCCCAACATGTTTGAATAACTGTTGTTATCTGGCTGGAAACTGCACTAATTTTTAGTAAAATTCCGCACACTGAAAATTTCTTAATGTATGAACATGAAGCAATGTGAAAAAAAAAGCTTGAACCTAATACAATCTACAATTTGTTAACTCTAATATAACAATCACCTTTTTAGCAGAATGTTGCCATAAAACCATTCCTGCAGGACTATTGGCTTGTCCTGGACTGCCTGGATGTCCGATCACCAGTCTTTGCTTGATTGGTGTCACTGTGGTTGAGGTAGATGCCACATGGCCAACAGGAGATGCCACAGCAGAGTTAAGGCTTGTTGAAAATATAGGTCCACCAGCACTGCGTTCTTGCGCCAATGCCTTCCTTTCCTACGGGATATGAGAAAAAGAATATAAATGAACAACGAAAAGATATATTTTACAATAAGTATATAATAAAAACATAGCGAACAATACATTCACATTATTCAAAGCCCCATGGTACACGTTTCCCTAACGAGTGTTAGACTTAGAACAATTAACAGATAGGAATCATCCAATTGGAAATCAAAAGACAATTACCTAAAACAAGAGAGCGATGCGCAAATATAGGGGACATATACAAGGCCAAGTAGTACAGGTATTCAATCTTTTACAGAGTTTCCCAGACTTCATCTGGCCACCAGAGAGCAACGAACGCAGAGACTCCACAAGGTGCGCATATCATAATTTTGATGGCGTTAACAGCATCACACATAAAAAAGCCTACAGAAATGTTTCAAAAAGATATCAGGCAATAGCCCTATAGCAACAACAACCTTTACCTACTGAAAATTTCAAAGCAATAGGTCCAGTGAAAAGCGTTTTATTCCTCACAACAAAAATGTTTAAAATCTAACAAGAACAACAGTAGCATAGGTCCACTTCATGTCCAAACAAATGAAATACCTCAGCAAGAAGTTGTCTTTGATTTGCAAGTTCTTTCATATCATTATGAATTTCAGCAAGTTTTTTACTTTGTTCTTCCTGAATTCGTTTTGCTTCTGCATAAACTCTTTCTTTATCAGCTTCAGAATCGATTGCTTTCTGCAAAATCAAATTGAAATGCATTATGGATATAAAACAACATTTAATTTAGCAGTCAAGGATTTTTTACTCAATGACAAATAAATAGTCCAGGATTACTCACTTGTGACATTGCGTTTGTTTCTGCTTCTCGTTGTTCTAGTTCATGCTGAATTTGTTGTAAAATTTGTTTTTCTTCATTAAACTGAGTAAGTTTATTGTTCAGATCAAGCTTCTGTGAATTCAATCTTTCATTTGATGATTCAAGCTAAAATCAAAAGTATAGAAAATTTGAAATCAGTTATATAAATAATAAGGAATGTAAATAATCTCTAGTGTATGTCCAGCTTGACTCAGACTATAACTGACAGTTTACATTTGATCTGGAAAACGTTTAATGTAGTTGAGTTTGCTAGAATTTTAAAGGTTTTGGGAAAGTAGCTACAACTAGGAACTTTGACTAACAGTGGCTAATGCATCGTTTTTCACTATCCATTTAATATCTTTTTATATCAAACTATGTCATTTTCAAACAAACCAGAAAATACCTGAAACAAACCAATTATCATATGCTACATAAATTTATTATACATTTAAGAGGTGATTCTCAATTTTCATTCCCTTGGGCACAATATTTATTTATTTATATTAAAAGAAATATTGGGATCACGAAACCTGCAATAAAAATTTCAATTTTCAGTATCATAAAATGTTTGCTTTTATATAAACAATACAGTAAAAGTGTCAATGACCAAACTATTTTTTGCATCTCATCATCAGTGTGTTAAGTCAAACTTCCAAACCTCAATATCAAGCCTAAATCTTCTCTCCCTTCAATTTGTAATTGACAACATTTCCTTGTCACCTACTGCCGGCCCATTTTGAAAATTCTTGCTGGTCCGAGGGAGCATGTCGAGAAACACTGCTCTTTTAAGTTTTACAAATAACCACCACAGTTGAGCATAAGGTATGCAACCCACAATGACAACATAAATGCAATATGAAATACTATAAGCTAATGTACATTCGGTACATTTCTGGAAAGCAAACCATAAAACATCTTTATGTACCTGTGCTCTATTTCTTGCTAATTCCAACTTCTCTGCATTGATTTGTTTCATCATGTTTTCATGTTCACGATTGCGTCGATTTGTTTGTTCTGCTTCTGTTATTTTAGCCTCCTCGTACCTAATAGCGATGCTTGACAGATCATCCGATGCCCTGATCAACTTTGTTGTGTCATCTCTGCTTTCTTGTCTGATCTCATTCTGTATATTTATCATTTCTCTCTAAAAAACAGTATTTCATTAGCTTGTGGCAAAATATACATTTTCCTGGTAATGACAGGACTATAAAAAAAAAAACAATTGCAACACATACTGCATTCATATGTCAATTTAAAGGTAGATAAATTCAAACATAAATCAATAAAACACACCTGTATTTCAGAGATATGTAAAGTGCAAATTAAAGAAACAAATTTCAATTTTATGTTCTTCTATTATCGATATAAACACAACAGAGAAAATGGATACACAGGACTATATTCTACATATTTTTTAATAGTAATCCGGTGTAAATCAACAGAATTTGTAACAAAAGTAGCCATATTGGAAGTTTTCCATATTGAACAAGATACTATGACTTATGTGAACAGTCAAAAGATAAATTAATCCAATTTAAGTTTAAGAAAATGGTCTCACTGTATGGTAGAATATAAACAATTCATCTAACATTTGTAGAAATACTTTCGTCTCTAATTAATGCTAATTGTTCAGAATCATAATTAAATCTTTTTAATTCAGGTTTGATAATGGAGGCAAGAATTTCACAAATCAGGAAAATAAAGCAAAATGAAATCAAAAACCCCAATGATCCAAAATGTAATTCAATTTGCCTTAAAATTGGAACATAAATTAATAACCAAATACCTATAAAAAATGATAAAGCCATTCCAAAAACTATCTCTTTGACTTTAGGATACACATATTGCTTTAATATTTCAACAAAAAAGGCATTGGCCCCAAGTGAAAATACCCCATACAAGCCTGAAGAACAAATCTGAAGAAGAAAAATATCAAACTCAACACCTATTGTAATTAGTACGCCACATATTAATATACCAAGACATAAAATTTGTGCAATAGGATTGTATTTTTTAAATTTGTCTGTTGCAAGTCCAGCTGAAATACTTCCGATCAAACCTCCAATGGAAAATACCACGAGCACTTGTGATTTTGGCAAGGTCAGAAGATCATTATCTGTAGTTGAAGTGACATTTGATGAATTATTGCTTGTTTTGTTAGGCAAGATTTCTGGAACTGGCATCAGTATGAATTGCACAATAGACATTGTGATGAGAGTTGTTTGCACAAAGATAAGTATTGCTGAGGTTTTATCGAAAAATAAAACTTTAAATTCGGAAAGCAAATTTCGCCAAATATGTCGCAATCCTGTTGGATATTCTTTTATAAGTTTCAAACGCTGAGCTTCTGCTCTTGATGGTGGTAGGACAGGTAGGTTTGGTAGAAAAGCTGTGATAATCAGCAATAGAATGACATCTAAACATGATATTATGCTGAGTGTTGATACTAAAGCATGAGACTGTGAATGCAAAATTGGTCCTTGCATATTTTCCAAGTTTATAAATGTAGGCAGAGCTGTACCTATTAATTTTCCAAAGCAGAACGCAAAAAATGATATTCCTAGAACCGTAGCTTGTTCTCTTTCATCAAACCATACAGTTGCGAGCAGTGGCACCAAAACAAAAAATACAACCTGAGCAAAACCACCAATGAACTGTCCAAGCATCATTAACAGAATATGCTGTTTTAAAGCAATAACCAATGCTTCAATAAATAAAGATAATCCCATCAGAGCAAGTCCAAATTGCAACCAAGGTTTGATGAGATGAACATACATTTGTGCGATGAAAAGAACAGGAATCGCAGCAAGAATCGATCCAAGTGCCGCACTCAAATTGACATTATCAGCCTCTATCTCAGTTATGTGAAAATGATCAACAAGAAATTGATGCCAAATTCCCCAGGTAACTGATATAATTCCAACCTGACAACCATACACAATAACAGCAAACACCACCATCCATCTGATAGGATATAATTTCAGCGAAGATGGCGGTAAACCATTAATACCTGGCATATTGCTTAAACTTTAACAGATAGTAAATGCTAATAAATGCACAGAAAGGCTAGGTTTAGACCCAATTAAATTCAGTAACTGGGATAAAACAGTATTTAAAACCACAACCCAATTGGAGCTCACTTCCATATATCCCATATATTTTCACCTACTTAGCCGATATCTTTAAAAACGTGCTCCACACACACAAACAAATGAGGTCATTTCTTATCAATACAATGTACACAAAATTTTAAATTGATATATTTTGACAAATGCATTGACATTCGACACACACCATAAGTATATAGAAAATAAAGTACTGTATGCAATATAGATCTTTATTGGGATATGGCAACAAAATCAATCCATCTAAGAATCAAATGTACATTATCAAACAATATTTTCTGACCAAAACGCTATTTGCAACATAACCCACGGCTGACAAATAATACAAATATAAGACTCATTACTTTATCTCTCATGTTTGATACAGTTAATAAAATTCTTTCTCTTAACAAATGCTAAAAACATCTAACGGTCATCAATGGATTCGTATTTTTATGTCTTGTCCATCGGATGATAAAAGCTGGAGCTCGAAAATGGAACTTTCGTAAGAATTATAAAATTGTAGAATATTTTCCATTCGATGATATCATCAGCAGACAGGAGACCTGATTTTGCTTGTCCGAAATAATACGAAGAACCAAGCAGATACATTGAAAGCAAGTATACTTTACCAATAAAGGCTAAGATAACTAAAACAGCAACTTATACTAAGTAAATTATTACAATAACTGATTCTGGTTATGATCTATATTTTCATGATATGACTTTCTTACGTAAAAATCATGTGCCTGATTGATACATCTAGATATAAACATAGACTAGGGAAGATATATCATAGGTATTTCAGGTTTGTTTGTGTTTGAAAGTTCTGTATAATCACATTCAAACTCAGGTATCGAGTAAAACTACCTACGGTATACGATTTGTAAAACTAAAAATACTGAATTAACATTGCAGAGTATTTTGAAATAATAAATTGAGTTGAAAATTGATGTACGCCACACTTTTTGAAGCATTTCTTTGCCCAATATTTAGCGGATATTAAAGAAAAGTTCCTATTATTTGTAGCTCGGTGAAAGCAAGATATCATATTTAGGTAAATCTATATCTGAACAAACAGGCCATCTAAAATTATTCCCTGGAATTCAACTACGTTTTCAATATTGTAAAACGACCTATTAGACAGTAAAGCCATGGAATAAAACAATTATATTTGTTTAGAGTTAAAAAAATACTTGACAGACTCATTTGCTGCAATAGTGGTCAAACAAAATGGTATCCATAATCTGAAAATTTCTTCTCAACTAAATTCTTTGCTCATGTATAATCAAACACTAAGGTATGGAAATCCTCTTCAGAATAAAATACAATAATTTAACTACACAAGACCATAAATATGCTTGCTGCATGGTCAACTGCCTGTGTCTGTACCAGATATTGAATTTATAAATTGTTTCCTGTGAGCTTCCTTTTTAAAATCATTGATTAATGTGGTTGAAGCATCTCAAATTGAAAGAAGAAGAATTTCAATTTTTATTTCCAAATTAAGATTTAAGAACACTTAACAACTATTCAGTTGAATAGGCTCATTATAAGTTATTCATGACTTCCTTTGTCTCGCATCCATAAACTGAATTTAGCGCAAGTACTCATAATCATGTTTTAACTATAATTAAGGAAGTCAGATCAATAAGACAGTCATGCCAGCAACTGAGTTTTTACAATTGTATCTTGAACTGAATTTAAAGTTGATTAACTTACACAATTGTTAGTTTGTTTTGGATTAATAAAAATGGCATAAAACAGATAAACCATAATTAAATAAAAATTAATTTACTATTACAAGCATTACCTAGAGCAAATAAATATTTTGAAACTGTTAAACTGAAGGTTCTCGCACGTTTGAACAAAAAGTTATGACATTTTTCAGGAGGAGTATACAAAATTCTCCAGCCAGAAAGGCTAGATAGGGTTAATTTCTGCTAACCAATCAATTATAAAGACCATTAAAAAAGACATGCCAAAGCAATAAAAGTTTTTATTCTTTTTTTTTCAACTTTATAAGATAAATCATTGAATCTCAGAAATCACAAAACAAAATTATGCATTTGTGCGAATATATGCATGTTCCTAATGAATGAACAAAATATCATACATAATGAAATAAACAACAACTCACATGTGCCTTTCTTAAATGTTCTCTTTCCAAAGAAATTTGTTGCATAAATTGTTTTTTTTCTTCTTGCAATGCAGTGTGAGCTGATTGTAAGTTGCTATGAGACAACTGCAATTTAAGAGAAATATGAATTCAGATGATAAACTTTACCGGTAAGTTCTTTTCATTACTATCTGCTAAATTTTTATTCACAGAATTTCAAGAAATTCATGTTTTTTTCATAACTATCTGCTGAGAATGAAATTTGCATTCATAGATTCCAATTTCATACAAATCCTAATACTTTCATGGTACATCTAAGGTTTAGTTAAGCAATTGAAAGATATTAAAAATTTAGTAAAGAAATTAATATAAAAATCAGTATACTTTATCATAGATATTTTTGATCATAACATGCATGGATCTCCCCAATATTAAAAACGAGATAGCGATTAGAGACCGCCGACTTATCGATCTAGCGACGTGTATCCTTCACTCTGACTCAATAGCAACACCGTGTGTCCCATCACTAATTAATTAAAAAAACTCGCTGATTAGTATTTTTACGACATAATTCATCCAAAATCAATAGGCTTCTGGTCCGAGATATGATGAATGCACATGCAAAATTTGGAGCAGATTCAACCTCGATTTCGTGAGATATCGCGTGTATCTACCAGACAGACAGACAAACCAACAGATAAATACCTATCAGGATCGATAAGTAATGAGAGAAAATAATTCTGAATTTCATTGTGATACAAAATAAGATAAAGAAACACAGCAGACGATTTGGATGAAGATATGAATTATGAAGACAAACAAATAATCAACACTATACCTAGAAAACTACCTTATAAATTGCTCGATTATTTTTCGCTAACGTATTTGAGGTCATTGTTTTTTCCGCTGCGTTAAAATATCTGCAGTCAATATGAATGGGATGTGCTTGATTATAGTATTCCAATCTTAATTGGAAACTGAAATCTTCAAATACTATTGTTAGGAAAACACATACCTGCATGCCATAATGCTGTTCTTCCATTTTTCTATTCATCTCTGAGACAAGTCCTTCAAGTCTAAACATGATAATATGAAAAAACTGAAATAATTGTGAGCATTAATTCATATTACGCTTATTCATGCCTTTCTCTCAGAACTAGGCCTTATACAAGCAAACATTCATATCTAATGTTTTGTATGACAACTAATTATTATTTAGGAGAACCGTAATTCATTTGATTCAGCATTACCTACCCAAGTTATTACACCTTAGGTTGAGTTGGGGAAGTGAGGTGGGTTGGGGTCCATACAATATGCTTACGAAAGTCTACACCAGGGGTCGGCAACCCCTGGCACGCGAGAGGATTTCCCATGGCACGCCGAGTGATTTGAGGCAGATTCAGATATTTATTTTAGTAGTTCAACAAACATTCTACATTTGAACAAAAAATAACAATTCGACAAATTCTTTGAAAAAAACATGCAATATTCAACTGCAATCGACGAGAAGCCGAAATCTGTAAGCGAAATCAGTGTAAATAAGTGTGTGCGGTGCGGTTTGCCACATTTTTCTACTTTCGGAAAAGCGATGGATCAGAGACCGAAATCTGTACGGGAAATCAGTGTAGATACGCATGTGCGGTGCAGGTTTGCCAGATTTGGAAACGCTTCGCTATTGAAACTACTCGTTCAACTACTATCGACTTTTTATATTACTGTTGGGTTATTTTTTGCCCTTTTTATATCCGCATATGGCTGTGGTATTTTAGGGTAGTGAAGCATTTATTTTGTCCACGCAACCGCAGGTTAAATTTAAGACAAGTAAATTGGAATAAAGCAAGACAATTTAAATATGGCCGCATCAGTCATGGATTGATTACTTTTCACAACGGGAAAATCCTTCCGCGGGGATTTCGAGGCGATAAATATGTATTTTTGATTTACTGATATATACTTTATATGTGTTTAATTGTACCATGTACAATTTTTATTACAGATATTAAGATTTTTCTAACGGCGACATCGAATTCGTAAGGTCACAAAAAAAGTTTTGAAACTAAATACAATTAGGCATGTTTATCTCATATTTTTACTTCAACAGATTGAGCGGTATTTTAGACTAGTAATGTTTATATTTTGAGGAAAGAAGACGCAACCGCGAGTCACGTTAGACACAATTATGTCAATATAGAAGAAAGTTTTATAGACTCTCGTGGCTGTCGTGAATTAAATTATTTTACGCGACAGAAAAGTCGGTATACACTGAAAAAGTCTTCTTACGAGCGCTTAATTGCAGAGACTGTTTCAGGAGGAAATGGAAATTTCCCATTTTGACCACCCTGCTTTTCAAAAATCCTGGTCGCGCGCCTGGCTGACTGTGTACCTCACTAAAGCCAAAATTTTGATCATTTCAGCGTTCGCTACATGTATCCCTAACAAAAATGATGGAATAAATTTTCTTTTCTTTTCTTTGGTATTGACGCGTTCACATCTTTTCTGGCTACAAAACTAATCGTGAGTGGCCTTCAAACCTATTAATTAAGTCGTGCATAGACAGGTCAAAGGTAGAGATGCCCTATGCCGAAATCTCCCGTTAGCTAATTTCCATGCACGTTACCCTATAAAATAAATCTGTTTTACATCCTCTTACTATTCAAATCAGGTAGTTGACTATGCAAACTAAACACATAAAAATGTTTGGCAAGCGAAGGTGCTCATTATTCATAAAATGGCACGCCGAGTTCAAAAGGTTGCCGACCCCTGGCTATACACCATAACATTAGCTTAAATTATGATTCTTACAGAAATTTCGGTACTCCAGTTCCGTAGTATATGCACCAGGTTAGGGTTAGGCCATAATTTTATTCAGATTTTCCCTATTTTAGTTCTATTGCAAGTTTGAGGACTGTCTATTATACACCCTGGGACCTACCCATAGGTTTCAGACCCTTTATACAACTTGATGTAGAGTAGGCGAACAAAACTAGTTACCTACATACTGGTACATACAATTCTGGAGCGCCAAATTTTCAAACATGAATATCAAAATACCAATTCTGCTCAGGCAGGATTCAGCAATATCAAACCTGATGTTAAGCAAAGCAAATCTACGATAAACAACTTTACCTTGATGCAGTTTGTTGCATTTGTATTTGGGCGTCTGATGTTGATCTTTGTTGTTGACTGAGTTGATTTTGGACAACTAAACAGACAGATACAATTGAATTTCATCAAATTTTATAAAAAAAAGGTTACCTCCGTAGTATATTTACCAAGGTAGGATTAGGCCACAATTTTATTCCGATTATTTTTATTTCAGTAGTATTACGAGTTCGAGGACAGTCTGTGTTAGCCAAGTGAATATACTCCTTGCCCATAGGTTTCATCAGTCCCTTTATACAACTTCTAGTTTCCATTCTGGTACATACACTTCTGGAGAGGTCTGGGGAGTATAACCAAAGTTACCAAACTATTGCAAAATGCAATTTTCCCAAAACCTCAAAACATGACACAAGTTAATTTAATTCTACTGTGGCGAAATGATATAGAAAAATTCACCCCCTAAAATTTTTTTGAATAGGCTATGAAACAATAACCTGATCCATTCACTTACAGGTGCTTGTAGCAAATGATGCAGTGAGACTACAAAGAATGTGAGATGATGGGTTTACAAAAATTAAGTTTCTAATAAGTCAGATAAATTAGAAGAAAATTGACATATTAATATATTTCTGCATATTCTATAATATGACAAATCAAATGAACAAACCAAAAACGATACCTGAAATTAATTGCTTGTTGCTCAGGGAAATGGATTCCGATTGCTGAGTCATGGCTCTATGTGCTGACTCATATTTCGATGATAATTGTTGTAGCCTATCGGTGGCCTCTTCAACCCTGGACATCATTGATTTTATATTTCTGTTTTGCATAGGAGAAAAACAATTGAATAAAATGATTAAACATATCTCAGTATAAATCTGCGAGGTTTCATTTGATATACCATCCGCCAGAATATTACAAAGACATGGGCTCAGTTAGAACTGTTCTCATTTATTTGTCATTTCACAACTGTCATCTCAAGAAGTTTAATGAGAAGAGTATGACATCAAGTCAGGGCTATTGTCTTCAGATCATGGTTGATCATCCATCTGCCAGAGGTATATAAATGATAACACAAGATCCAATGACCACCATGTGACATAGACATCTGTTATACTGCGAAAAAAATTGTAACCTTTCATTAAAACCTCACGGTGAAAGGTGATTTAGCAGTAATAATATGATTTCCGATCCCTAAAGATTCCAGGTCAGTAACACACTCTACTGAACTAAACCGTTTGTAGATCGCAAGACTTCTTAAGAAGACTAGGAAGTGAAAATTGACAAATTCAAACCTTTTACAGAAACATCATTGCCCATATTCTCGAATAAATTACAAAATCAGGGATCAAATCGGGGATAAAACGAGTGTCTCAAAAATGTGTGTTCCACTTGACTCACATGTCCCCGGGCAAAGTGGGACACCTGGGACAAGTGAGACACGTTGGACAAGTGGGAGGGACACGTTAAACCCGACATTTTCGAGACACCGGGAAAAACAATCTAGGAAGCCCTCGTTAAACTAATTATTGCATTACACACCTGGCATGATATGTTGAATTCTTGATTGCTTCCATTTCTTTGCCATGAGCTTGTCTTAATCGTTCAACTTCTTTTTCTCCGTCCACTCTACATTCATCTAATGCTTGTAAATGAAGATTTCTCAACCTGAGAGTTTGATATGGAAAGTTCAATAACATATAATTAGGGAGCGAATAACCCTGTCCACTTGCTCAGGAATACTATCCCGACCAAAAAAATTGATGACTACCGGTACATGGTTTTCAAATCTACTTCATGAAAGCAGTTCAATATGATTTTTGTTTGAAATACAGGAAAAAATATATTGTGTGATATTATTTACGCAACAAATAAATGTTAAATTTAATCCAGAAACAGAATTATGATGCATGAAAGTAAATACAACATATTCAAAAGTAAAAAATATGTTCGTGCACAAAACACTTTTTACAATTCACAAATTCATACAGTTCTATTTTACGAAAAAAACAAATTTCTCTACTTTGAATTGTCTTGTACGAAGATTACCAATTTTATTCCTATATGAAGTAGCTTAGACCTATACAGAAAATTCGATTAAACAAATTCCCGAAAGAAGAATTTTTAAAAATTCACAATTTAATTTGTAAATATTTTTTACATGACAGTTATTTATTCATTTCAATAGTACAAACAAACAAATAAATTATTTTTTATTAGTAACAACAACATTCTGTTTCAAATATTGAGTAATATCTTCGTGTTTCCAGAATGAAAGTGAAAACCGGTACTCCCGAAGTATGTGTACCAGGTTAGGGTTAGGCCATAATTTTATTCAGATTTTCCTTATTTTAGTTCTATTACGAGTTCGGGGACTGTTTGTGTTAGCCAAGTGAATATACCCCCTGCACATAGGCTTCCGTCCCTTTACGCAACTTGATGTAAATTAGGCAAACAAAATTAGTTACCTCCATATTGGTACACATACTTCTGGAGCGCCTGAAAACCAACACAACAGTTGACAAGATATACCTTTTAATTTCTTCCTGATGTTCACATTCTTTAGATGTATCAGCTTGTACTTGTGTTTGCATTGCATTTCTTAAAACTAATATTCTTGATGAATAAGATTCTCGAACACTATCTAGTTCTCTATCAACTCTTGATTTCAAGTCATTGAATGAAGATTTCAGCAACTGCATATTAATAATAGAAAAATATACAGATTAGGAAAACATACACTGAGCAAACTAAGGATGTAAATCAGGAAAATGATATGGAAAAATTATGGCAGTGTAAAATTATTTTTTTAATTCTAGTTTTTTTAAATCTGAGCCAAATATACTACCAAATATAGTACTAGTACAAAGATGCTAGAATATAAATAGAAGACTATTAGAGACAATTTGCACACAAACAAAGAACTCCATAGGTTGAAATACGTTCGTCCATGCAAGTATATTTGAGATAGTGTGCAGCAACCTCTATGAACCACTTAAAAAAATACGGTAAACCGATATATACCAGTAAATCTATTCCTAATCCATAAAATTTGTTTTAAATCAGAATTTAGCCACATATAGAGTACACAGACCATAAGTTAGGACAGTGATTTTCCACCGGTGTTATACAGTTGAAAGGTTAAAAATAACCGTGTCAGCGTATAAATTCCATGTTTCAAACATAGACACTATTACATTAAATATTCTCACTTCAATCCTGCTATCATATGTTGTCTTGGTAAGTTCCAAGTCAGCTTTATAAGCAAGTTCAACATTATGTAACAAAGCTTTGGTATGACCAAGTTGAGATTCTAAGCTTTGATTTCTGGCTTCTTCACCAGTGGATATAGTTCTCTCAGTCGTATAATGTTGCTGGATATTTTCATTTATTGCTATTGATCTAGTTGTAGGGGTTGGTGGGACGATTGGAGCTTCATTGACAAATGCAAAATCTGCATTTCTTCTTGGTCTTGAAGGTTGACTACTAAATGATGGCGTTGAAGATCTGAAAATGTAATAATAATCAATAACAAGGAATTTATTAATTTTTGAAACAATGGGCTTTGATTATGAGCATCATTATCACCATAATATTCAGATGGATAAATAAGGAATAGGTGATGTTCACGCAGGGTTGTGAAATCAAGAAAAATTTACATTCGTCTGATACTCCAACCCGTTTAAAAAACGACTCCGGCTTGGACGTGCCTTGAGAATGCTTAGTTAAAATAGTGGAAATGAGTAAGTTTGAGAATTTACATAATATGTACATAATATGACGTCAAGGAAACAAACAGCTGATTAAGAGAGTAATTACTCTCTGGGAGATCATTTACAGATTTATGTCCTATGTGCTCTTATAATCAACAATTGTTTGTTTTGTCTACAATAAAAGCTTAAAATGAAAAATGCAATAATGGAGGATTGTCAAAAATATCTTACTTTGATTGGAAAACATCATCAACACCAGATTTCTCACTCTGAGAAGTTGACCTCGTCGGTATAGGAGTGTCATAAATCTGTGATAGTAAAATCCAAATATTTTCATTGGAAGTGGAAGTCTGTGGAATTGTGGAAACTTACAATCGACTCCAACTTAAACTTCAAACTCAGAAAAAATCAAATATTGATAAAAAACTTTGACATATGCAACTAATGCTCAATGAGCTTCTGTATAAAATTTCGACTTCTACTATCATCATTGAAATTTGAAAGTATGAAAATCGGACTCGGGGAATTTAAAATTTCCACTAAGACTCTGAAGAAATAGTAATGCCAAACTCCGAATCCACCACAGCCCTGATTGAAAGTAAGATTTGTTTCGTTTGGTCAAGGTTTGAATTGGTTAATTGACAAACAACGGATAATGGAAATAAAAGTTAGCATTACATCAGTGAAAATGGAAGACTAGGGTCCATAAATATGGAAGTAATGACGGGACAAACACATGAAGAGGACCTATAATAAAAATTCTTTGTTCGCCACTGTAATTGGCAGTTAACATATTTCAAGATAAATCAAAATTCAAAGTCTGTTACCACTGCTGCTGTTTCTGATGATCTTGGTCTGGAAACAAGAGAAGATAAATTGAAGAAATGAAAGCAGAGCTATGTCAAATGGGAAGGTAATTCCGCAAAAAATTACCCTTCAAACTTCATTTCGCATCCCATCAGGTTGCTTTTCGTGATATTACCGAACTATGTCTATGAGTAAGTTCTAATTTACAACATAGAACTAATTGCTGATTAAATTTCATAATACCATATTAGAACATTCTGGGAAAGTAGAAACGCTTAAGTAAAGACTGAAGCAAGATTAAAAACACACATCCGTATTTATTTCAGGTGTGTGAATATTTGTATAAAAATATATATCAAAAGACTTTCTAATGATTCATTGTTATTAACAGGCTTGCACGTAATTGACAAAAATCAATTCCGTAATTACGGCCAAATCGATTACGTAATGACCCCGTAATTGCGATATTTTTTCACACATTTAAACCTTTCATAACAACCAATTGAATTCACTCCATTTTCGATTGGGACATCGAGTTTGGGTTTTCATATTCCTGGCAGTACTACACGCCGGCGACGGATGTTAAGACAAGAGTGAATTCAAATTAATTTTATTCTGATTTTTATCTTTTGTGCTAGATTTAATTTCCTTTATCACCTTCGCAAATCAATATGCCATCAATTTTATCATTACCGACAATGGTATTAGAGATGTACCGATATATCGGTATCGGGTATCGGCAATATCGGCCATTTTTTCGGTATCGGCCATGTATCGGTATCGGTTAGATTAAGGCCGATATTTCCGATATATTTACCTTTTTGATATGGTCCAGAATGTTTTAAAAGATAAGTTGTAATACTACTTTTTAATTTATTTTTTGTCTGGAGAGATCGTGAGCTATGAGCCATAACGGTACATGTCCCTACCCCCGCGAGAGAATATGATTCACGTATTTTTAGCTATTTTCGCTGTCAAATTTTTATATTGACATTTTTAATATTACATAGTAATTATGAAGAAATATATCAACACGGCACATAACAAAAAGCAATTAGGCGCCCAGTTTTAAATCATACAGTGGAATTGGGGACCTTATTAACGGCACATGGACTTTTGGCACGGGTATAAATTCTGACTGTTTGTCGTCAAGTACGAGTGTCATTTAGTCCGACGACATCGATAAACTAAATTCCGACACAATTATCCCTCTACGCAGATATTAATTTTGTTTAACAACACAATTTCTTTATAGATATATTGACATGACCGCCTAGCCCTAGAGGGCCTAGAGTCCTATACTGTCTCAAAATATATGATAGCAATTGTATAATAATATAAAATAGTAAAGTAAAAAAACATCCTTGACGGTTATAGGTAGGCCTTCTTTTGGTCGGTGCTGATTGATATTCTTTCATGTTGACTTTGACTTATTGCGTCGACGATTACGATTAGCCACAAAATGAAATATTTGAAAAATGCTTTTAATTTGAACGTAGGACAGCGGCTCTAGAATGTGTGGGTGATATTCGATATTCTCTTAAACACGAATAACGATATTGATATTCGAAGGTCGCGATATTAACATTAAATTCAAATTGGACATCCCGGCTTATGAGTTTTCTAATTGAACACCGAGATTACTAGCGTTACTGTACAGTGTATCTTAATCAGTTGAAGCAAACACCAAACATTAATTTCATATTATGTGATATATCATTTTTCGATCTGAAATAATGTGTACCTATGAACAACGCTCAAAGACCATTGTTTTAACCCGTCTGCCCTACACAGCACACCTAATTAAGTAATATTTACATAGTATCGGTATCGGAATATCGGCCTCGACGAGCGTATTCTCTCGTTTGATTATACTTGCGCTTGCCTCGCGACGATGACTTGTTATTGCACCGTTTTTAACATTATTCGACTTCTCTACCTAGTCAGCATTTTATAATAATTATTGATGCCGACTTATTGACGTTATTCCGATTACCATGCTTCATTTTACATTAAATCATTTCGCGGCCTAAATGTTATAACATTATTTGCGACAAATTTAGATCAAATATTAATTATTTGCGCATAATTTAAATACCGTACTTAACTACTTATATGACATGGCTTTTCCGAAAATACAAAGTTATATCGCAAAAAAATGCATATTGTGACATTTATTTTGCAGTCACGAAAAAATTAACTTTTTTTTCTCTAAGAATCAAAATAAGTTGCCGCATTTGGTAAAGCAATGAGCATATAGACAATGAGTGGAAACTTGCAAAGATTTGCTCATTATGGCATTGTTCCCTGCATTTTTACGTCGTCCAGCTAAATGGTTCGTTGCATATTAAGAAAACGCGTTGCTCGCTGCCAAAATCCCTTGCTTCAGCCAATGACATTAAACAACATGATGCGCAACTACGGCATTTTTGGCCGAAGATCGTATCCGATAGCACGCTCCAATGCACATACTTGACGAGACGAAAACGAGCGGATGTGTGCTGCTTTCAAGCATAGCACGAATGGTGTTCGTGCCGGCTTTGACAGTTGTTGTCGATTTTAATGATATTTTGGAAAGTTGAGGTTAAAAGAAATCGGAAAGAGGTAAGGTAAATACTATTGTTGTATATCACACCCGGGCATCGCACTGTTAAGTACATGTGGGAAAGCCAGCTTTTGTCAAATACTACGAAGTTATTAATTCAGTACGGTACGTAGTTGCCCATTTGCCAAAATTGCATATTTACTTACCCCTTATGGTTTCAAATAGTTCATGCACCTCCATTTAGATTTTTTTTAATCAGTGAGGATTGAATCAAAGATTTAACAAGTTCACCTAACATTTCACTCATACCGGTCTATATTGTATAGTCTGATCTCTCAAGTATATGGAGTCACGAATGCTTGTATTTTTCTGACTAAATTCCTTTATTAGTTGGTTTGTATACCAAATTCAGTAAAACATTTTTTACAATAAACATGAGATATTGGATTTATTAGCTTTTCCATTCTAAATCATATAGACTGCTTCATTTATTCTTGACGAAAATTAATAAATCTCCTCTCCTTCTTCAGATGTGAATGTGGACAAACCTGTCTAAGCATTGTGAGACTCCTGCAGCACAAGAGGCAATAGCAAAAATAGTATGTAGATCAATCAAGAAATTAAGCCGACATAAAGCAAAAGTTTCAACTAAACGTCTAATCTCTATTTCCTATTACTTATTCACAGGACAACTACAGACATTTGACCCTCCGGTAGAGTTGTGTATGGCACCCACATCCTGCAGGGCTTAGGGAAAATATCAAAAAATTCTAAAGCGTGAGATTGCATAAGCGGTCCTATTTGTAAAAAGGCACAAAACACGCCAGACATACTTAAAACAGCTTTGGAAAATGAGGATTACGGCTAACTCACTACACCTGTGTTATATTTGGTTCATCAACTTTTGGTAGTACTATAGAAGAAATTCAGGAAAGGGTATAATCATGATTCATGATAAAATACTGTTATATATATTTTGGACAACTTCAATCTAGACCAGGGATGTCAAACTCGCGGCCCCAGAGAACTTCCAGTGCGGCCCTCGAACGCTTAGCAATAATTGTAATAGTATTTTAGAAGTTTTTTTCTATCTAAATGTAATAGATTTTTCAAAATTGATTATTCACACAGAAAACAATTTACTGAAAGTAGTTTTGGAAAATTAATTTTTTTTTGTTCACATTTTGACCCAATTAAGAATACTCATTAAGCTAGCAAAAGAATACTTGAATAAAACACTTAAGTGATTAAATTAAACGCAAAGTACATAAAGAAGGTGGCATTTTCAAAGAAAATGAGAGTTGCAATATTTCTGCATTTCACAAAATTCTGAAGCACATTGTTCAATTTGTCATATTTCCATCAATACAATGAAAAAGCACAATAAGCTCAGCAGTCAATATCACAAATTCGAAGAGCAACTTTGAACAGAAAATTTTCATGTGTTTGTATATTAAAATAAAATTATACAACGACTTAGTTACTAAAAATCAATATCAATAATAATTCAAGCAATCCTATGCTACGCAATGTGGTGCGAAATGTCTTGTCGAAAAAATCTGTCAACGTGTTTATTTTGTATCTAGACATGAAATTATAAAAATCACTTTTTTGCATTACTGGAATTAATTTTCGCAAAGATCCAGATTAGCCCATGATCATGTGACCTCGTTAGTTAGAGTTGGTACTACAAAATCATTTCAGCTTGGCCTTAGTATGCTGGTGACACAAAAAAGATACCAAACGTCAGGACAAATGAAATTAAAAAAACATTGAGTTTATACTGTAGTATTTTTGTTAATTTTAGGTCCATATATTTAAAATAAGTCATGTATTATTTATTCCTTATCCAAAGTTTGTTCAAAAATGATTTTGATGGATGTACATAGAATTTTTTGATTTTTTGTAATAAATACAGTAACTTGCAATAATAGTGGAATGCAAATATTAATATGTAATTGCATTTGAAATTAAAGAAAATAATGAAACTTAATCCAACTGTTTAGTTGCATCACAACATATGTCACAAACTAAAACTATCTTAAAAATATCTTTCAAGTATACATTATCAAAAACTGTTTGCGGCCCTTTTTACAATTTCCAAAATGCAATGCGGCTCTCGAAAACCCATGAGTTTGACACCACTGATCTATTCTAGACGATTCAAGCATTGCTTTGGGAAATAATATCACTTCAATCAAATTGAAAAAAATCTTGCTATATTAAATACAAAATCGTTGTTATCATAAAGGTAAACTAATTCAGCCACTCGAAATATATTGGCCTTCACAAAGCAATGGAGGCAAAATTGAGAGTTCATGAGCTATGAACTTATGTTCTTTTCTTTGTCTTGAACTTTTCATACTCCACAGCCGCTATTAATTATTTTTTAATTTTAAATACCATGTGATGGTCATACATATCTTTAACTTGTATATTCTGATGATGTGTTATCTCAATGTGTCAAACTATTAATTAGTGTGCATATTTTGCTTCCAGATGACATAAATGTATTGTCTTGTTTACTACCTCAGCTTGGAGTATTGACAAGAAAGAGGTGCCAGTAAATTACGTAATTTTTTTTTAACTCTGTTAAAATCAGAATCCACAATTAATAGGAATTATAAACAGCCAACAACCAATGAGAATTATATGCGAAATCCCTCAGAATAAGTTTGTCTTCTAAAATCGGAGGAAGGCAAAACATATAGGTAGTTTCCATTCACACAAGTCTTTCAAGAAGACTTGCTCGAGCCAAACTAAATGAGCATGGTCAGGTGATCGGTAAGGCTGCAGGTTGAATTCAGCCCTGCAACCTCCTGCATAGAAGATAATAATAATTAGTGGGCTATGAGTTGAATTCCTAAATTTAAACAAACCTATCTACGAGGCATTATGTACCAGCAATGTTACCTACGAATAACT